CAGCTTTACTCATATCATTGTGAAAAAATTATACTGCCAATCATTCATCACCTTAAATGAAATAGAGTAAATACATCTTATAATATATTAGTAATATTGATTAGATCCTGAATATCCTATATAGGCTAAATTTTTAACAGCTTTTCTGAGCACAAGAAGGATAAATCTTGCTAAAATTACTAATAGCCATTTTAAGCAGTGATATTTCCTTATTGTTAAATAGCTCCTAAAAATCTCAGACAAAATTAGGCATTACGAATTTTTAAATCTCTAGTCCACCTGAAATTTGAATCTATTTGATCTATAGTGGAGCTGTTCTCAGAGCCCATGCGATCCCATTCAACTTGAGAGTAGCGAGATGCGACGATAACAGCAGCCGAGTTGAGTTGACGGGCCTTGGCCCTCCATGTCGAGTTTCGAGCACAAACTATGCAGTATACGAAGCAGCCGATAGCCAGAAAGACGGCCAGTGCAGTAAAGGCGGCGGCCCCGGCAAGCAGATAGCTGAAAGCTATACGGCAGGTAGACCAGTTTACGGCGGAAACGTTCGGTGGACATTGGGAGGAGGGAGGAATCCCGAGTCGGTGCAAAGGAAAGACGAGACACTCTTGGGTCGAACGACAGTAGATACACTATGAACAAGATCAGTGAATATAACATATTTTGGAGCGGGCGGCAGAGTCCAAAAAGTGTAAGATCAAGGAAAGCAAAAATCTTGGGTAACTTATAATAAAAAATCAAAGATTAAAAAGTAAACTAAGGAAGGATAAATGTGGAGGTAATTTTAGAGTGAAAGAAAAGCAAGCTAATTTTTGCACTTCAAGGATGATAAGAAATGTGCTTATTTACTAGAAGGCCGCTATTTAAGGCTCAGTTTAATTCATAGACAAAACTAAGGATATATATATGAAGACGAAGATGGTGTGGCTTTCCATTTTTTCGGAGTCTCCTTTAGCGATCTGACCTCGTTTTCGCAACTTTGTCGGAGCGACAAGGAGACCTTGCGGAAAGTACCTAGTTCTGCGCCCTCTGCCATAGTATCCGTGGTTTCCATCAACGGACCGTTGATTTGATACATTCCCATACATTTTGCCGGCATCGCAATTTTGAGGTGGCATTATTAGCACAGAGTTACAATTTTCACTATGATAAGTAGAGCTCTGTGCTGACGACGCTAGCTAAACGTCTGGGAATTTACCAC